AATTGCCACAATTTGAAAAGTAAAATTATACACCCCACATGAAATGTAAAGAAAATGAAATGATGGACGTTTTGTAGTGGCGCTAATTGAAGGAATACATTTATAGTGAAACCCATGCAGGTATATATATATATAGGCAAAGTCTGTTGGTGATAATTGAATTGGATATAAAGGTAATATTGCGTACCGGTACAAAGAAATATGGATTTAAACGTTGTCGACCCCAACATCAGCTACATTCACGGTACACAAACTTTGCCCTATGCCTATGGTCGTACACGTTGTTTTTTACAATTACAACTCATTTCTTTTTTTATTTTCAAAACTTGCCCCATGCCTAGTCATGTCATTTTTGCTTTTTCTGTCTTTTTTTCCCCTCACTTCTCATAATGAATGATGGAACTATAGGTTGATGTCTTTCCACATGAAAGAACTTACTTTTATATGTATATAATAATTATTATCTATATATCATTGTTTTAAATAGCTTGCTATGTAGCTCGCGAAATGTTGAAATGACATGCTTTCTTACGCTATTTTGTGTTATTTCACGCTATTGCGCTACATTGCGCTATATTTCTGCAACGACATTTAAATAATAAAATATTTAAGAACTCGTATTTTCTAGGGATGAAAGTCAAATTTGCAAATGACTTCAAATTAAAAGTTTGAAAATGCAAAGTTCTAAGTTAAATAGTGCAATATTTTTTGTCCATTTTTGTTATATTATTTTATTTTTCGATATTTAACATTTAAATAAAGAATAAAAGTTCACATCTAATGGTTAGAATTAAGTTGTAGTTAAATAAAATAATAATAACTAAAATACATATACTTAAAATTATAATATGATTTACCTCATTATATTTTCGTTGTTTGTTTATAGTTTTTATATATTTGCTTTATTATTAAATATTTATATTATGATGATATTTACATCAAATATTTGTGAGAATTAATCCTTAGGATGTTATTTTTTAAGTCATTCAAATACTATGATAATTTTTGTAATCAACCATACATTTTTATTATATGCAAATATATTTGTACTATTTCTATAATGAAAATGTTATACCCAAATAGCTTACGAAACACGCAACGTTATTTACGCTACGCAGTAGAAAGACCAAAACGTGACGCATTACGCTATACGCGTTTTAAAACACTGCTTTATATACATTAAAAATAACTTTTATATATGTTCTTGATTTTTACAAATTCATACCATGCACATACTGTAAAATGGGGGCACACACTTTTTTCCTTACAACTACCCCTCTACTTACTCCAAGAAGTACAACCACCCCTATTCATTACAAATTAATATGAATTTAATTTGAGTTGTTTTGAAGATATGTGTTAATGTTGGATAATTTCCGTGTTTGTTGATATAATTTTGATGCAAATATAGAGTTAACATTGTTATAAGCTATATTCGCACACATAATCTAACGTTGCACGCGTTTTCAATCAGACATTGTCGGACCCCAGGTATAATGTTCCCTATCCACCAGAGTAAAAAAGATAAGATAGAAAAAAAAAACGCTGGTCGTAGCAACCGTAAACGAACCGAACATTCAGGAACATTTTTTTTTGTTAGACCTTGTACGTGTTCGACAAAACCTCGTCCGTTTGTTAATCGAATGAACGGGAACATTAATTTAATAAAATATAATTATAATCGGGATTTTTTTTCTATAGTTACGTATGTTTGTGGTTATAAAAAATGTAAAAATGTATCATATTTTTGGCTAGTCTGAAAAAGAAAAATCTTTGAAATAACCTTCAACATGTTGCAATGGAAAAGATTCTTGTAGAATAGTCTTATCCAAACAGCTGTGAGGAATCAAGAATGGCATTGCATGTGACGATGGTACATCATGTATTAGAAAGATTTTTTGCTTTCTTTATTTAGGTGCAGAGAGAGTAGGATGTTTGGGGCAGGTTGGTCAAAAAGAAGGTGAGAGAAGGTGTAAAGTAGGGAGTTTTTTTGGCGGGGGGAAAGAGGAAAAAAACCGGGAAGGATGGGAAAAAAAACTTTGGAGACCATATAAAAAGAATGCAAGGCACGAACAAATCATCACAAAATTTCATCATGGTTTCTCACACACGCTTTTGTTCTTGCGGACGTGGTAGGATGTCCCGTTTCATGGCTAAAACAGATAAAAATTATGGTAAGTATTTTTATCGGGGTCAGCAGGATTAGATCACCCAGGGAGTTTTATATGGGAGAACGAGAGTAATCACTCTTTTTCTTCAAGGGAAAGTGCTCAAACATATTTTAATACACAATCCAATACCCAAAGTAGCAGTCACACGACTCGTGGGTCCAACTACTCAAGCCCATCACATGCGCCACCGAACAATGATACACCGTCAGTCCTTCAAATTGCGACTTTAGATGTCGTTACTGGATTTTATGTGGTCATTGGGTTCTTAACTATTGTTGCACTTCTGAAATTCATCATGATGTAATGCAAAAATATTATTAGAAATAACTATATCAAATTGTGCAATATGTTTTTTTTTTTTTAAATGTATATATTTTATATGGAATTTATCGGTGTATTAGTGCAAATTATATCCGAAAAGATTTTTACTTCTACTTCCACGTTCAACAACGAATGGTAATTCATTTCTGCAATAATTCACGTAAAGAAGTACATATGTCTACATTGTGTAAAAAATAAAATGTATATGAAGATAATAATTATATATTAGAAACATATTTTTAATGCATACGAGTTAATTTTAATGCATATGAAGATTATTCATTAATATATGAGAAGTAAGGCAAAAAAAAGATTGAAAAAAAAACCTGTAGTACATGAAAAAACCGAGACGTGCGAATTTTTTTTCGACCGGGCAACGACTGTATAATAGTATTGGAAATTACTATTGTTGGGTGGAAATAATGGTGATACTTTGTTGGGTGGAAATAAACACCATGAATCCAAATTAAAATTGACGTGAATGAAAATTCACTAACAAGATTCTTTCCAATGTTAACATCAGTGTATTAATAAATACCGTACATGTTGCCATACCGGTCGAGCCACCGGTACACGGTATTATATGACTAGGATAGGCAAACTACAATTTGTATATATGTGCACAAATTATTAATTTATAATTTAAGATAGCTTCTATCTTGTGCGTTGTAATCTTTAATTTTATCTTCATGTAATTTTTAATTTTTAATAAATATTTATTATTTCTCCAATTTATTATGTATATGATTATAACTTTATAATTACTTTTACTACATAAAGTCCCAATAGAATTTAAAATAATAGTGTGGATTAATTTGTAAAGTTGTAAAATATGTAGATAGTATTGAAAAGTTGTAAAAGTTGGTATAAAAGAGAATATTTTGAGAATATCCTTTTGGGTTTGAGAACGAGTTCTTCGGTTGGAGATAAATTACTGCAAAATGTGTTTGAGAATGAGTTTTTTTGGTTGGAGATGGCCTAACGTTACCAAATGCAATGTCATTGTTCACCGCTGTGTTGATAAGAATCATTCTGAAGCCACAACGTTAATACAACTATAAACGTATCGAATTATGCAAACTAAAAATTAATTTTATGTGGAGATGCGGTTTAAAATAAACAAGAAAATATTTGGCCTATAATTTTTCTATCTAATTATGCAAACTAAAAATAATTTTATGTTCTACGTACCTAAAAAAAATTATTTATGTTCTAGTAATTGCGATTTGATATACGTATTACAAAAAAAGTTTTGTGTTTATGTGATTGTATTATATACACTATTTTTTAATACAGAATAATAATGAAAATTTTTTCACATAATTAGTTCTTTTTGGCATGGTAACTACAAAATTGACTTGTGATTATTGCATGCCACTATAACTAATTTTTTTTCTTTTTCTTTGTTTTGGTTGAGTTTTTGGAGCAAAGTTGTCCAATTGCCACATGACAGAAGTAAGAAAAGAAAAGAGTGCAATAAGAAGGCGTTATAATCGAGGTTGAGGGTGGATATTTGAAGGACCATTTGAACACAAATTTTGTTCTCCTTCCTCATAATAAAATCTTTAATCCACCCTCCTTACAACCGTCGTGAAACCGAAGAAGAGGACAGATTCATTGTCGTCAGAGGTACATC